CCACCTTCTCCCTACCCCTCTCCCCCCGGCAACCCTCAGTTTGTTTTGTGAGATTAAGAGTCTCTTATGGTTTAATAATGGCAATATAGTTTCGCTATTCTTAGTTTTTTAATCTTCCACTGAGGAAAAATTGGACAAGCTAAATAAATCAGTTCACCAGATAATTAATTTACACACACAAAACTAATATTGGCTCTTAGTCATTTCTGTTAGGAGGGCCATCTGTATCAGCAGAGGTGAGCGAGCGCGGACCGATCAATAAGGAGCAGTGTCAGGGCCTCTTTGGATCATGTCTCTGTCTGGCTTCTAATGCCATTTGTCCAAAATGATTTCTGAAAGCATCAAAACTCCCCAGTCCTGCTCAGCACACCACCTTGCGCCTCAGCCCAGGAAGGGTTCTGCACGGAGCCACCTGGAAGGTGAGCAGCGTGGAGAATGGGGACCCAGAGGCCCGACTGCCTGTCTGTGCTTTCCTTTCCTCACAGACAGCTTTGCATTTGTCAAGCCAGAGAAGCCTCTCATGTCTTAGAACTAGAGATCTGATTTTAGCCACCAGGCTCTTCACTGTAGAGATGAGGCAGTAAAGTCCGGAGAGTTTACTTCTCCAGGTGCTGCTCACAGAAAATCAGTGAAGCTGAGGCTAGCATTTCTCCTGGGCCTCTGACCAGCATTCTTCCTGCGCCCCTGCTATGGCCTCACTTTGTGGAGAGGTGGTCGCTGCTCCTCACCCCTCTCTTATACCCCACAGCTCCATCAGAGAATTCCATCTACTGTCTCATGACATTCCTCAGTTCCAAGGAAATCTACCCTGTGGTGCAATGATTTCCATCTGTCCTGCTGTTTGGAAGAAAGTTCTATCTGCCTGTCAGTGCTGAGTTTTGAGCTCCTTTTTAGGAGGTTGTCCTGGTTCTTGGGACTCATCCTGGCAGAACCTGCTGAGCTGGCCAAGGAGGTTTTCTGCATCACTTGCTGCTAAATCAGGGCCACCTCATATTGACTGGCCCAGGGAAACTTAGGTCCAACATTCTCCCTCATGACACACAGCTCCGTATTAAAGGGTGTCAGGGAATTGCTGTTGTTCTTCTCCAGAAACAAAAGGTGTCAAAAGTTAGATGGGACTGAATAGCCAAGAAAATATAAGTAGATACCTTCCCATCTCCCTGGTCCCAGGAGCTGTGATCTAACAGTAGAAGATAAATCTCACCAAGTCTCCAGGAAAAGAGAAAAACACAGAGCAGCTAGGCATCAGCCGTTGTTGGACCAAAATAAATCCTGAGATGGTTGATAATCTGATTATCTGGATTGATTTCTCTGTTTCCTTCTCCACCCCCTTATGACTGAGCTGAACCCTTGCACCCTTCAGTGCAAACGGTATTAAGTGCCTTGTATCTGAAGAGCATGTCAGCAGACACTGGTTGAAAATAAGGTGAATCTTGGATTTGTTAGAGCTTGAGGCTTAGAGTACAAGAGTTTGGGCTTTACCACTTATTAGCCATTTTGTTCATGGAGAAATCTAACCTTTCTCAGCCTAATTTCAACATCTTTACTAAGTAACTTTTAAGACTGAGAAATAAATTAGATCATTTATTTAAAACAATACCAAGGGCAGCATTGATCAGATGTACATGTTCTGAAATGTTTGCCGTTGTAATTTATATAATCCCCTGGGAGCCCACTTTGGATTTTTTGGTAGGTAGGTCTGTACTCTTGGCATTTCATCAGAAACCAGGACCAATAATTAATAATAATAATAATAATAATAATAATAATAATTCAGAGGTAGTATTATTAACTGATGTTGCACAAGACCATGTTCCAGAATCAAACTCAGCTATCACAAATTTTCCTAACACAACAACAAAATGGGCTACAGAAGAGTAGAGGCCCTGAGAATTTTTAAGTAAATGGTGGATGGTATAATTGGAATTTCTACATCCTTAAATAGCATTGGATGTTAGCATGCCCCACCTCTAGGACTCATTGATTCTTACTGCTAAGGTTTGTGTGGCTTCAGCAATTTTTGATAGGTGCCTTTATTTTAAAGCCCCATTGCATCAGCAAACTAGAGCCACAATTTTTCTGCCTAGCAAACCACCCAAACTCAGGGGTATATAACAATAAGCTCCTGAGTGTGCAGGTCAACTGAGGCTTGACCTATCTAGCTGCAGGTAGGGTCCCTTCTGCTCCAGATGTCTCTCACCAACCACCCCCCCCCACCTTGGAAAAACTGTCTGAGACAGGAAGCCCAGAGAAGAAGGTGAGCATGACCATGCAGGTACACTGAAAGCCTCTGCTCATACCATGTTCAGTGTCTTCCCATTAGCCAGGCAAGTCACGTGGCCAAGCCCTTAAGTCCAGGGGCAGACTTTCTGCCCACTCTGAGGCTAGGGCATGGAATTGGGTAAATATTAATACTGTGGAGGAGTCAAAAATTGGGGACCAATGAACATTCTTCAACACCTCTGGTGTTGTAAACTATTGCTACAAGGTAATTGCCTTTCTGGTCACTTAAGGGGGTTGTCCTTTGGATCTGACTGTAACCTCTGATAAATAATATACCTCTTGGCACACTGTGAGCCCGCATGAGAAGATAGGTCTTCTTTAATAAATACTCCCTTTTAAGATTCGGTGGTGTGATGAAATGACTACACAGAGCATGGAAGAAAAGAATTGCGGAACATTCCTCTGCACAGCCAGTCCTTAAATCCAGCCCATATCAGCAGAGACTCAAAATTATTATCATCTAATGGCAAGTCAGGAGTCTAAGTGAATTGAAATATTGGCTTCCCTCCAATTCCCAATGATTTTGAGTCCATTCTATGAAAAGCATCAATGTAACTGATATATGTGGTTTCAGATGCCCACCAGATCAAAAGCATAGATTACTTTGAAAATATGACAATTTTTTTTCTAGGAATAATTCTCCTTGACTATCAGTAAGGAATACTCAGATTACTCTAAATCATCGGGTTAAGTTTAGGGGCAGTAAGGTAGGGGCACAAGCTGAGACGATTAACATGAATGTGGATGAAAAGTCTTCTTATCCTGTCTTTTAACAGAATGCAGGTCTTTAGAGAATAACCTTTATTCTCAGCCTGATATATCCATCCACTCCTTAAAGGGCCAGGAGCTTAAGATTCTTTCTCATTATTAGTGCTTTCTCAGGAAAACCTAGAAATAACCAGAGGAAAGTGGTCTTTCTGCTTGGCTGGTTTTCTGGGAATCTTACTGAGTGGCAGCCCAGCCCACAGGTTAGAAACCTGAGCTCTGAGGTCTGTGACTGTGTTTAAACTCAGCTGGGTAGCTGTGTGACTTTAAGAAGGTCGTTTAACTTCTGTAGTGGTCATTGGTGCTGCTCACAGATTGTTGGTTCCCCTTTCCTCCCGGGACCCAGAAAACTTGACCCCCTGGCTCCTTTGTGGTTGGGTGGTGCCATATAACTAGTTCTGGTTAAAGAATTGTGAACAAAGGTGTTATATATAACTTCTTGGCTATAACATTTAATAATCAATGCAAGATTCTCCAGAATTCTCTCTTGTCCCTCTAGAACAATGATGAGCAGCATTCAAGATGGTGGCTGTTCCATCAGCCTGGGTCCCAGAGTAATCACAATGAACAGAGTCCCCCTGGTGACCCGTGACAGACTTGAAGCAAGAGAAAAGAAATAAATTGGTTATACTCAGCCATTGTGATTTTGAAGATTATTTTTTAGAATAACTTGACCTGATCCACCTGGTTTGATATCTGAAAAATGAGGATAACAGTGGAATCTAGCTTGTGAAGTAATCATGAAGATTAAATAGGATAATATGTGCATGTACTTAGAATAACACCTAGCACACAGTAAATTCTTAATATATTTTAGCTATTATATCTTATTATTAAGTTATTCTATATCCTAACCTAGTCTCTAATGACTTATTCATATCTATCAAACAAGTTGCCATGTAACTTTGAGAAATTCAACCTCAAATTGCAATACAAGTAGGTTAGACTAGATAGGCTAGAGTTTTAGCTTTCTGGACTTAAAGTTATGTGCAACTTTTATGGCACTGCTCAGAGGATCATCCTTGTGTTTCACAGATATTCTGTTGCTTAGGGGAGCGAGATCTGTGGTAAAATCAAGCATCATCTTTGCCCCTTTCCCGGTGCCCTCTACCCCCCAACTCCCCAAACAATAAGATCTATGTCCTTGTCACAGATTGTTCTGTGTCCTATTCTAAATCTTTCCGCACAGAAAATTACATCTGGCTTGTAAATTCTTTGCTACAAATTGGTTTCCCAATTTATGCACCTACATCCTTAGTAGTCTATCTTCTCTCTCAGTTCTGTGTTCAACATACATACCTAATATCTTGTTTTATTAGTTAAATCTCACTGGGTTCAAGCCACAGCCCACCATGGCTGTGGTGGTCTTCTTTAGTCCAAAAGGGGAAGATTCTCTCCTTGTTTCACTTTAATCTTGGTGTAAAGTGATCACCCTCACACCATCACAATCAGCCACTGAAACCTGTCCTCTAATTTTTCTGGATTAGAACTTTTCATGTCTTAATTTATAGTATTTCTTTTTCTCCTGTGTGACTCTGCCTGGATCCTGCACTGGTCCCAAAGGTCAGGTGCTTCATACTGTTCAGCCTATATATAAACCAAATCTAGGAAAAGGAGGAGTTTCATTGTATATTGAATTACAAGTTGGATTTCATTAAGAATCCTAATATTTCTCCCTCCTTACCTTCTTTATCTAGGTGTCTGTTATTCTAGAGACTGCACTTATATATATTGTTATAATATATATATATTATATATATATACTGTTATATATAACCTCATGGCCTCCCTCCCACCCCCCAGTGCTTGGTTTATTACAGATCCTGCTACTGTGTTTATTGTCTGTCTAGGTGGAGGCCTTTTTTTATTTCTATTGTTCATACATGTTCATTTTGGCTATTAATAAACTATTACTTTATGGGAGGAAATGACACTTCTTTATCCTCTTTCAGATCGAAGACATCATTACGAAGATGCAAGATGACAAGACAGGTGGTGTGCCCATCAGAACAGTCAAGAGCTTTCTCTCCAAAATTCCCAGTGTTGTCACAGGTAAACATTCTCCTTACAAATGTTGGTGGCAATAGGAAAAGTCTGCTGAAGGGTTGTATAGTCTTGATTGTGCCCTGAGGTGTGTCTAAGAATTTGTGACTAGTAAAGATGATACATTCAATGTGCTTCTTAAACAAAGTCAAGTTCTGGTCATGGTTTTCAGAAGCTATTCTTTGCCAGTGATTCAGAATTGTTTTACCATGCCCAGCCCTTTTGCGTACAGGTTGAGGCTTCTGGAAAGAAACAAGCTCATTAATGACCTGGATAGCCCATCAGCAATTTGACCTATGAGATGTAAACAAGCATAGATATATTAAAGAAAGTATTTTAGTTTTAAACAAGCTTTAAGAAAGTCTTACATTCAAATTCTACAAAATGCTTTTAGGTTTCTAACTTACTATACTTGAACTCTGAAAAGAAATGGTTTTAGTATATTTTTCTGCATTACTTTGAGGATTTTGTGTGTTTTGTATGCTCAGACATTTTTTAAATTAATTATAAAGTATATCAAATGCATGGATATAGTTTCAGATATAATACTAAAACAGGCCACCCATGTCCACCACCCTGCCTCCTAAATAAGGTTTCATCAGTATCTTAGAGCCCCTCGTGAGCCTAATGGATGACATCTGCCTCCTTTCCACCACAAGTACCACTATCTACTCTTATCCTTATCAGTTTGTTGCTTTTCTTCATAATTTTAACCACTTAGGCATGCGTCCCTTATACCTAAACAAATAACCAAATAAGTTAAGAGAAAATTTTAGGTACTTCCCTCATTATCAAAATATAGTTATTTGCTTTTCAAATTATAGAATAATTAAAATAAAAAATACTGACAATACCAAGTGCTACTGAGGTTATGGAGCAACTAGAACTCTCACACACTGCTGGTGGAAGGTAAAAATGCAGCTACTCTGGAAAATGTTAGACAAATGCTTACCATATGACCAAGAAATCCCACTCCTTGGTATTTATCTGAGAGAAATGAAAATGTGCATGTAGACGAAAACTCATGAGTATTTAGAACAACATTATTTATAATCTCCAAAGCCTGGACACAACCTAAATGCCCTTCAATGTGTGAATGAATAAACAAACTGTGGTAAACCCATATTCATCAATAAAAAGTAGTGAACTATTGATACAGACACCAACTTAGATTAACCTCAAAGTTATTTTTCTGAGTGAAAGAAGCCAGTCTCAAAAGATTTTATTCTATATGATTCCATTTTTGTGACATTCTAAACAAGCCCAAAACTCTAGTGATGGAGACAGATCAGTGGTTGCCAAAGATTGAGAGCTGAGGGAGCATATGACTATAAAGGGATTACATGAAGGAATTTTTTAAGGTTACAGTGAAACTATTCTGTATCCTGATTGTGGTGGTGATGGTGACATTAATTTACATGTAGGTTAAAATTCATAGAACAGCAGACAAAAAAAAAAAGAATCAATATTATATGTCACCTTAAAAAAATAAGTAAATTCAACTGAGGTACCTATAAGTATCCTAACTCATTATTCAGACTGTCACTGTTTGAACTCAGGTGGGTACCAAATAGATCTGGATAATGAAGGATGATTGTATTGTTAGTTTGCTCTAATCTTGAAATTTATTTAAATGGAATTATAATATTGGCTATGATATATTTTTTCATACATTTCTGGATTTTGTTTGATAAAATGTTGTTTAGGATCTTCAAATCTATTTCCCTGGGAAGATTAGTTTGTTGTTCTTATTACCCTCCTTGCTGGTTTAGGTATCAAATTTCTGCTAGACTCCTAAGATGAACCATGAAGTATTACTTTTGTTGATAATATGTTGTTCTCTGAAAAATGTTTTAATCTTTAATCTAGATTTTAGGTGTTTCATTTCAATTATTTTTTTTATCTTTAGAAGTTTCATCTGTTTTTTTTCCCAGTATACTTGGTCATTCATTCAACACATATTTATTGGGTGCTTACTATTTTCTAAACATTGCTGGGCAGTGGAGATTTGGAAATAAATGAAAAAAAAATCAAAATTTCTGTTCATGAAATTTTAGAATCTAATAGAGGACACAACAAAATAAATAAGAAAGATTTTTAGAACTTGAGGTAGAGATAAAAGCCAAAGAGAAAAATAAAGTGTGAAAGGGGGATAGTAGTGTTGCAACTTTGGAACGGGAGGCCAAAAAAATTCTCTGAAGAGGTAATATTTGAGTAAAGATGGAAGGGAGATGAAAGATTGAAACATGTGGATATTGAGGGAGAGAGCATTCCAGAAAGCAAGGGCTAAGTCTCCAAGGCAGGCATGTTCTGGCTTATAAAAATCCACAAAAGAAACAGAAGGAGCAGCTGGTGACAGAGAGGAAAATGAAGAGGACATGGTTTCTTGGAAGCCAGACTCTCTAGAAAGTGTTTCAAGGAAGAATGGAGTGATCCACTGTGTAAAAAGCTGCTGATAATCAAGTAAAAGAAGCACTGAGAATCAACCTTGAACTTAGCAACAATTGAATTCAACTGCTGACCTTGATAAATGCACATTCCATGAAGCATCTGGGGAAAGGGACCGCAAAAAGCCTTACTGGAGTGGGTTCAAGCCAGAATGAGAGGTAGTGAGTCTAATTAATTTTTGAAGTTTTCCTTAAAAGGAAGAAATGCAGTAGAATCTAGAGGGGTAAATGGAGTCAGGACATGTAGGTTTTTAAGTAATATGAAGGTGACATGCTTGTGTGATGATGGCAATGACTCACTAAAGAGGGGGAAATGCTGCAGGAGATACAGGAAAAATTTAAGAAGTGATGTCATTGAGTAGGTCAGAGATCGAATCTCGTGCATGTTAGTTGGGTGGTTCTAGCTAGAAATATGTATAATTTATTCATAGAAAGTGGAGTAGAGGCACAGTAGATGCACAGAGTTGCAAATAACCATGGTGGGGTGGTAGGAGCTTGTAGGAGTCTCCTTCTAATTGTTTCTATTTTCTTAGTGATATGGAAAGGAGAGAAGGTAGAAATGTTAGGTTTGAGAAGAGATTAGAATCTGGGGAATAGTCATCTAGGGATGTAAAGAGATTGTCTGGTCTAAGGAAAAGAGTTTCACTGTGAGGTAGCATTAAGGACCCTCTTGAGATTATTAATATTTATGAATTTAAAGAGGAGCAATTCTTTCTCCAGGCACATTTAGCCCTCTGGATTTGGACATGTATCAGGTAGAAAGCTAGACTTAATTAAGGCTATAGCAAGTATGAGAGTATAATAAATCAAGAGAGAGGCAAGAGAATAACTGAAATGATTGACCATTAAATTTTAACTGAGTGGGATGGAAGTGAGACATGAGATGGGTGAGGAACAGTGAGGTATAGTGATGACCATAAACTCAGCAGTCTAGTGAAAAAGGAGTTTTGGAGTTGAAGGCCAAAGTAAGAGCTAGAAATGTAGGGAGTGGTGATTGGATAGTGGAATATTTGAAATTGGGATTATGGAGGAATTGCAATGTATTGGTGGTCACAGATATGAGGTATGACCATGGCAATAAATGACTGAGATAAAAAGCTTTTATTGATAAATAGGTTAGAGTGAAATAAGTAGAGTGACAGTTTGTTGGGGAATAAAACTCTGGCAGGATCTCCGTGTTCCCACCCCAGCTCTAGCTTCCAGCCTCCACCTTCCTACACGCCAGTTTGGACAATGAGGTCTTGGTGGGCATGCTCGGCCTCCTCCGGCCCTTGGGGGCCTCTGTCTTCCTGACTTTGTAATTAATTTGTAATTAATAAATATTTCATGGAGAAATACTTTGAAGCTAAAAAATAAAAATAAAAAAAAATAAATGACTGAGATAGGATGGAGGTAGAAGAGAGGAGGTCAAGGAACTAAGGGGCCATGATTTGGGAAGACTGAGCTATGTGGATATTGAAAAATCTAAAAAAATCTAAAAAAAATCTAAAAAAATATCGGGGGTTTGTTAGAGAGGGTGGTTGTGAGTCTGTGGTTAAAATCTTCATGGAAGGGTGCCTGGGTGGCTCAGTCGTTAAACGTCTGCTTTTGGCTCAGATCATGATTCCAGGGTCCCATATCAGGCTTCCTGATCAGGGGGGAGCCTGCTTTTCCCTCTCCCACTCCTTCTGCTTCTGTTCCCTCTCTTGCTGTATCTTTGTCTGTCAGATAAATAAATAAAATCTTATAAAATAAATAAATAAAAATAAAATCTTCATGGAACTAGAGACAGAGGCCTAGGCATCAGTAGGTGACTTTCACAACAAGAGGTATGGGTGGTTTAATCTGATGTCATGAGAGTCAAACTTATTGTTTTTGGGAGAAGAGACAGGGAATGAAGACATTCTAAAAGAAGACATGAGAAGCTAGGGTGTCACTTACCTGCCTTCAAACCTATGATGTGTAAGGCATGGGAGGGAAAATAGTCACCGCCTTAGAGGACTGCAGGAAACCAGGGCCGTTGAAGGAAGAGCAAGAAGATGAAGGGAGTATTAACTGAAAATGATGAGGATCTGAACAATTTTATGTATGACTGACCATGAGTCGCAGAAGGCAAGTGAAAGCCATTGAGGAAATGGTATACATATAACCTGGGTAATAAATGTCCACGGTTGCTATATACCAGGCACTAGAGTAGTCACAGGGATGAAAAGGCGAGTAAAAACCTAGTCTCTGCTTTTCGAAAGCTGTTAATCTAATGAAAGAAACAAACACAGGTAGACCAATAATTATATGAGCTATGTGTTATGGTAGAAAAAATGAACAAAGCTCAAAAGAAAGAATCATGAGTTTTTCTTGAGGAGCTCTAGAACATTTCTCCGAGGCTGTATATCCATTTTCTATTACTGCATAACCAGCCACCACAAACCATAATGATTTTTTTAGTTCTCGTGATCATGATTCCATGAATTAGTGATCCTGGTAATTCTTCTGATGGTCTTACCACTGAGGCCCTTGTCATCTGATGGTTCAGTGGAGACTAGAGGTCTATGATGGCCTTATTCATTTCTTTGGCAGTGGTGC